ATCTATCTATCTATCTATCTATCTATCTATCTATCTATCTATCTATCTATCTATCTATCTATCTATCTATCTATCTAGTGGTGGGATTCAGCCTGTTCGCACCACTTTGGCAGAACCGGTAGCTAATTTTTTGTTGCCGAGGGCCAGAACGGACTTCCGGAAGCAGCATCCACGCAGAGAACCGGTTGTTCACCAATTTGAATCCCACCACTGCTCTACCTCGCAGGGTCGATCTGTTGTTCTCTCTTGTTTCTGCACACAGCGAACCATCACCATTTTAAACATCGAGAACAGCTACTGGAATTGCATCGTCAACTCTTTCCGGTCCGGGAAGCGGGTTTTGGTGGGGATGACCCCAGATGGCAAGGACGATTATCGCTGGTGCTTTCGGTAATTGCCGTTCTAAATTTGGGAGGTGGGCATCCTTCGAACTGGTGCCCACAACTGCACCATCAAAAACCCTGCACATCTCGTATACCTGTTGAAGATTGTCAGCCTTACAAGGTAGACCAGACTGGAAATGTGACCGATAAGCTAATTTTAAAGGTAAAAGGTAAAAGGGTTCCCTGTCCAGTCAAGTCTAACTTTAAGGCAGAGTTCCCCAAACTTTCCAGGTAAGCGGGGGGAGGGGGAGAAAGAGGAGGTGGTTTTGTGGGAGGGGCAGTAGTGTGCATGCGTGGGCGTGGGCATGCGCACCCGTTGCTCGTGTGAGTAAGGTTGAGAGCGCCCACGACACTCGCACGAGTGGGGCCTCGAGTGGGGCTGTGTGTGCACCAGATAGCCCAGGGGTGGGCAACCTTGGCTCTTTTATGACTGGTGGACTTCAACTCCCAGAATTCCTGAGCCAGCCATGCTGAGGGGAAAGGGAGAGGTTTCCAAGCTGAGCCATGCTGGCTCAGGAATTCTGGGAGTTGGAGTCCATGAGTCATAAAGGGGGCCATAGTTCCTCCATCCGGGCTCAGGAATTCTGGGAGTTGAAGTCCACTAGTCATGAAGGGGCCATAGTTCCCCTGCCTGGCTCAGGAATTCTGGGAGTTGAAGTCCACCAGTCATCAAAGAGCCAAGGTTGCCTACCTCTGCTCTAGCATGATGGGAACCCGTCTTACTGATAAAAGAGAATATTTGTAGCCCAGGGTGGGGAAGCTGGCTGGGGAATTCTGGGAGTTGAAGTCCACAAGTCATAAAAGGCACGCTGGCTGAGGAATTCTGGGAGTTCAAGTCCACAAGTCATAAAAGGGCCAAGTTTGAAGACCCCTGCTGTAAGTCGAGGATTTGATCAAGAGACACAGTAGATCTGTTTTAATGAATAAGACTAGATGCATTTCCTAATAATAAGAGAGATTCAACAATGCAACAACCTACCCAGAGTCTGTGATTCGATGATCCAGTCCCACACTGGGCAGGGATTGGACTAGCCCAGGGGTAGGCAACCTTGGCTCTTTTATGACTGGTGGACTTCAACTCCCAGAATTCCTAAGCCAGCCATGCTTGAGGGGAAAGGGAGGGGTTTCCATGCTGAGCCATGCTGGCTCAGGAATTCTGGGAGTTGAAGTCCACGAGTCATCAAAGAGCCAAGTTTGCCTACCCCTGAGCTAGCCATTCACGCAGCCCACTTGCGAATAGGTCACGGACTTTGAGTGGGCAAAGCCCACAGGCTGGGGATCCCTGCTCTAGGGCAGCGGTTCTCAACCTATGGGTCGCGACCCCATTTGGGGTCGATCGACCATTTCACGGGGGTCACCAAGCAAGGCTGTCCGCCATTTTTTCCCCTTTTCCGGCGGGTGCCTTACCTCCCTTGAGCTGGGCCAGCTGGTGGTCGGCCTGCTCCGTCTCTGCCGCTTGCCAGCTACGCCTTGGCCGGCGCAGGGGGCGGAACCGCGCATGCGCAGCGCTCCCGGTCAGGGAAAGTCCTCGACTTACGACCGGTTTAGTCCTCGACTTACGACCGGTTTAGTCCTCGACTTACGACCGGTTGGGGGTCACGGCATTAAAAAGGTTGAGAACCACTGCTCTAGGGGATAGTGCTCATCTCTGATCCTTAGCCAAGGAGCCAGCGTTGTCTGAAGACAATTTCCGTGGTCATATGGCCAGTACGATTATATGCCAAGGGTGGATAGAATGCTCTAATCTTCCTACAGAAGTGGTACCTATTTATCTATTCACATTACATGCTTGGGAACTGCTAGGTCAGCAGGACTGAGGCAAGGAATGGGAGTTCATCTTGTTGTACAGCACTTGGGTTTGAACTTTCCAGCTGTTCTGTCCCAGCCTATGTGAGTCCTTGTTAAGCTCACGAGGAGAAACCCCTCTTCCAACAAGCAGGCTGGAACCGCAGGAAAAAACCAATCCCCTTTTATTATTCACAGACGTGAGTCAATGTCCAAGGCAAACAAACACAGTCCACAGAAACTTGATCCTCAACACGAACTGTTGTCTTCGGCAACCAGCACCTCCCACACCTTCCCTTTTATAATGCAGCCCAGGCGTGGCTTCCTAATGCCTTCTCCTTTGCCTTTGGAGCCGCCCCATTGCATTCCTCTGTCCTACTCGGTTCTCTTGCCGGCGCATTCGTGCATCCGGGATTTGTCCCAGCTGTTCTTCATCACTGTCCAACTCAGGCTCCCAGCACAGTTGTGTCTCAGCCTGAGCGCGAGTAGAGGGGCCGGGCTCCTCGTCCGACTGTACGTCTTGGAGCTCCTCAGAGCCTTCCTCTGACTCTGATGTCACTCTAGGCCCCTCCTCCTCCTCCTCTGATTCCTCAGCTGCCGGGTCCACTGGCTGGCGAGGAATCATAACACCAGCTGACAAGCTCAGTATCTTTAACCGATGAGCCATCATTCCCCAAAAGCTAAATCTATTTTATTGTAAGGCTGCACAAACAGAGTCTTGCCGGTCTGAAAGTATAAATCTTCCACCGTCTCCTTCACCAGCGTGAGAAACTAGGAAAGATTTCTAAGTTTCTTTGTCTACCCATTGGGCTATACTGTCTCTTATCTAATCAGTCTCATAACTGTGTCTGCCCGGTCTCGTAAGGTCTCCCCCATATGCCTTGTATAGATAGTCCTTGACTTGAGACCAAAATTTCTGTTGCTAAGCAAAGCAGTCATTAAGTGACTTTTGCCCTGTGTTACAAAGATTCTATTCCTGTAGCCTCAGAATGAAATGAAATTATCTCGCCTGGTCTGTTTTCTCTCTTCCTCTATCTGGGAAGGCTGACCTACCATGTTTTAAAAAAAAAAAGACAATTACATGAGAGCCGCCATTTTGACTTTTTCACCTGCTCCCCTCTGTGGAGGCCCTTTGAGAAGCTAACGGTATCCCCCCCCTCAATTTGACGATCCTGTTTGTACATTATAAAAAGGAAGAGAGGTTTTTGGGGGAATTGTGTATTCTGGGAGATATTTGCCCGGCCAATTAAATTAAAATTGTAATTTTTCCCTTGATGCTTCGGACATGCTGGTGCAGGGTGGACGAGGTGAATTGGTCAACATGGAATACCAACCTCAGCATCATCAACGAAGATCCCGGAGGACAGACAGAAGAGCTGAAACGCAACCTCAGTTTTTCTTTCAAATCTGGCAGAGGTGAGAAGGCTGTTAAAGAGACTAGTCCTCATTGTTATCCTGTCAGCTAACTGGGAGGATTCCTGTGTGAGTGAGGGGCTGAAGTACAGAAGTACAGATAGGGACTGGAGTTTAAATAGTCCTCAACTTACAATTGGGACAAGAATTTCTGTTGTACAGCACGGCGGTTGTTAAGTAAGATGTGCCACCACCAAAAGACCATCTCAAAAAGAGATCAGATCTTGTGGATTGTTTAACATGCTTTCCTGCACACTAGAGAGAGTTGGACTAGATGAGCTTTGGGGGTGCCTTCCATCTGAATAATTCCATAATTCTTCTTCTTGAAATGATGATTAGGAAGGAATTTGTGGGATAATAGTAACTGAGGTTTTGGGGGCATCCTTTAAGTGGGGTTTGTCTGGCTTCAGGACATCAACCCTATAGGGAGAGATCCCATTTTTTTTGCAGAGCAACGTCTCTACTTGTAGGATTGACCAATCTGCAAAAATGGGGATCTCTCCTTGTAGGGTTGACCAATGTCTGCAAAAATGGGGATCTCTCCTTGTAGGGTTGACCAATCCTAATTATTGTGTCAGTTTCAGGGAAAAACTGGAAGACCTTGGTGCCGATTCTAAGAGATGGAAAACGAGAGGGATCCCTCAAACCGATTTCGGAGGATTATGCTGATTCAGACGAGCAAGATGTCCGGAAAAAGTCCCTTCCCAAGTTGGTTTAATTTTAATATTTTGTTCCTTGCCTGTCTCTCTTTGGTGGTCCTGATTGAGTTATTACAGGAAGTCCTCAACATACGACCAAAATTGAGCCCAAAATCCTCCAGAAGCTGTGAATGCTCCAACATTGGAGGTTTTTAAGAGACTGGACAGCCATTTGTCTGAAATGGTACAGGGTTTCCTGCCTGAGCAGGGGGTTGGACTAGATGACCTCCAAGGTCCCTTCCAACTTTGTTATTATTATTATTATTATTATTATTATTATTATTAGTAGTAGTAGTAGTAGTAGTAGTAGTAATAGTAATAGTAACAGTAATAGTAATATTTCTATTGCGTAGCAAGACAGTCATTAACTGAGTCTTGTCCCATTTTTACGACCTTGCTTGCTGCAGTTGTTAAGTGAGTCACTACAGTTGTTAATAATACCATTGTTAAGTGAATCTGTGACTTTGCTTCCCAGAAGGTCACAAAAGTTGATCATGTGACCCCGGGACACGGCAACAGTCATAAATATGAGTCAGTTGCCAAGTGTCTGAATTTTGATCACGTGACCTTGGGGGATGCTGGAACAGTCATAAGTGTGGAAAACGGTCATAAGTCATTTTTTTCAGTGCAGCTGTAACTTCAAATGGTCACTAAACAAATTGTTGTAAGTCGAGGACCGCCTGCATTTATATCCCCTTAAAGGGTGAGGAGTGGAAGGTCCCCTAAACTGGAACAAAATTCACGCAGACTTTCTCAGGAATGGTCAAAAAAATCAAGAGAGCAGCCCTGATAATCTGATTGAAGCCCTGCTTATTTTTTATGTCAGTTGTTATGTTATGTTATTTATTTATTATGAAATATATTTGCCGCCCATCTCGAATCCAACGACTCTGGGCGGCTTACAACATAATGATTTAATGTAAGGATTTAATATTGGTTAGAGAGAAGAGAGGAAAAAGATATTTTAGATTTGTTCAACTAGAACATACAATACTGGGGTTGGAAGGGACCTTGGAGGTCTTCTAGTCCAACTCCCTGTTCAGGCAGGAGAGCCTATACTAGACTTTAAGACTTCTGGACTTCAACTCCCAGAATTCCCCTGGGAGTTGAAGTCCACAGGTGCTTGAAGGTGCCAAGGTTGAACACCTCTGCCCTACACCATTCCGGACAAATTTTGGAACAATCGTTCTTGAAAGATGGCGGGCTATCCTTGGCATGAGATGTTTTATCAGGGAATTGCGCAGTGGGTGTACAAATGGAGTCAGAGATGCTGACACAAACTTGTAGCTTTATATAAATAAATATATTTTACATATACAGCAAACTAGATAGTCAGGCAAACGGGGCATCGTGAGGTAAATCAACACAGCAGGAGCATCATGAGGTAAATCAACACAGCAGGAACCTCATGAGGTAAATCGCAGAGCACAAAAGGGCGCCCAGAAGAAAAAGGCGGGAAAAATGGGAACTTCCCCCTCCACACCCACAGCAACCAATCACAGCACAGATTGCCTCATGCAGCAGCCAGCATTCTCCAATCAATCAACCACAACTGTGTGTTCTGGCTCACTCCACAATCCTACTGCTAAATTTATATATCTTAACATATTTAAACACAGATTGGCTGGCCATCAGTTGGAGAGCCAGTAGTACTGGGTTCCTAACTGGGCAGCAGGTTGGACTAGTTGATCTCCAAGATCCCTTCCAACTTTCTGTTCTACGACTCTCCAATTACAAATCTAATTACGGTAGTCTTCAACTTATGACCACAATTGGGCCTGAAATTTTGGTTGCTGTGATACAGTTGTTAAGAGAGTCGTCCCATGACCGGACCTGATTTTACAACCATTTCTACCATGGCCCTCAAGTGAATCGTGCGGTTGTTAACTGAATCACAGAGTCATTAAGCGAAGCCGGCTTCCCCAATTTACTTGGTTTGTTGGAAACTGGCTGAGAAAGGTTGCCAGTCACAATCAGGTGACTTCAAGATGCTGCGACCGTCATTATTCAGAGCCGGTTGCCAAGAACTCAAATTGCGATCATGTGTTCGCGGAGGTGGTGTGATGGTCATCACTCTGAGGATGGGCCAAAGCTGTCGTAACCTTGAACTGTCTTTAAAGGAACGGTTGTAAATTGTGGACCTATGGGTTTATTTCTTCTTGTTTACTTGCAGCCCTGTCTTATAATCATTTGGATGGAAGATGCGACTCGTGCTGCTTCGGCGCATCGTGGCGCAATGCGTACATGCCGGAGGTCGTTCACTTCTCCTGGGAGCATCAGATCTCATCCATATCAAATGTCTCGATTATCTATCTCCTGCCCTCTTAGCCTCGTGACCCCCATCTGAGTCATTCATTTCACTGTTTTTCAAAAGTCACGGAGAAAAACGTACAAGTTGCATTAAGTTGAGGGTGAAGGTTCGTTCTCCGAGTTTGTGGGTTGGTTTCTGAACATTTCATTACCAGGCTAGGTAACATCTTAACAACAACAATAATAATAGTAATAATAATAATAATAAAGTTGGAAGGGACCTTAGAGGTCATCTAGTCCAACCCCCTGCTCAGGCAGGAAACCCTATACCAGTGATGGCGAACCTTTTAGAGACCGAGTGCCCAAACTGCAACCCAAAACCCACTTATGTATCGTCAGGTGTCGGGTGGGCGTGGCCCATTGGGTGGGCGTGGCTGCAGTGGTAACGGCAGACTGGGTGGGACTAAAAAGTTCAATCAATCAATTCCAACTTTGTGAGATCTTTTTATTCCCGCGAGAGGTTGAAATGGATTGATTGAACCTTTTTTTTTTTGCACACGGCGGCAGAGGCCTAAAGCGAAAAGGTTTTATAAAACCCAGCTGAAGGCATAGGACTGGGGCGATGCTGCGCATGCCCACAGAGAGGGCTCTACGTGCCACCTGTGGCACCCGTGCCATAGGTTCGCCATCACGGCCCTATACCATTTCGGACAAATGTCTGTCCAGTCTCTTCTTAAAAACTTCCAGTGTTGGAGCATTCACCGCTTCTGGAGGCAGGTTGTTCCACTGGTTAATTGTTCTAACTGTCAGGAAGTTTCTCCTTAGTTCTAGATTGCTTCTCTCTTTGGTTAGTTTCCACCCGTTGCTTCTTGTCCTGCCTTCAGGCGCTTTGGAGAATAGCTTGACTCCCTCTTCTTTGGGGCAGCCCCTGAGATACTGGAAGACTGCTATCATGTCCCCCCTCGTCCTTCTCTTCATTAGACTAGACATCCCCAATTCCAGCAGCCGTTCCTTATATGCTTTAGCTTCCAGGCCCCTGATTATCTTTGTTGCTCTTCTCTGCACTCTTTCTAGAGTCTTGGTGGAGTTTAGGGGATTTCAGTGTCGGTGTTCTGTTTATAAAGGATTCGGGTGTGTGGGTGTGTCGAGTGAGGGTCTTGTGATGGGTCTTGTGGTGGGTCAGGTGTGAGTCATCAGGGAAAGGCTTGTGATGGGTCTTGTGACGGGAGGTTACATCAGATCAGAGTCATTGGGAGGTGAAGTGCTGATTGGGGGATTGTGCGGGATGGTTGAGAATTGGTGCTGTCTCCGGTTGGCTGTGCGGTTGATTTGGATCCTGAGGGGTTTGTAGGCTGGTTGTCGGTTGATGTCTCTGTTGATGGGATTGCTTGTGGAGTGCCAGGCTTCCGTGAACACACAAGCGTGACAGGTGGTAGCCTGGCCGATCATTTTTGCATTGCTCCAATCGAACTGGCGTTATTTGGTGTCGGTGTGGGTAGAGATTAAGGATTTGGCATCATGACGTTTGACTGCCAGCCGGTGTTTGTGGATCCTGGTTTTCGATGTACGTGATGTTGGTCCCACGTAGAATCGGTTGCAATCATTACCGTTGATTTTGTAGATTATATTGTTTCTTTCATCCTTCTGTGTTGTGGGCAGTGAGAAATATTGCCCCTTCCCATCTAATAGGATAGGAATGAATAAACATAGAATAGGCTCCATATTAGCGATTTAAAACTTCAACTTGAACTTTTTGCTGTTTCACAATAAGAGTGTGCTATTTGTAATCTGCTGCAATATAAAGTGCAAAGTATGTAATTCTATATATGTTTGGAATATACCTATTTTACCCATGGGAAAAGAGGAAGTGAAAGTAGCAGATGTATAGAAATTTCAGATTGGGAACTGTCATTGCGAAGTAAGAATTGTGAGTGGGTGGTCGGTTGGAAGAAAAAGTATAAAAATTGTTGGTTTAAGTCTGGCTCGGGGCCATTGGTCTATAGCTGTTCTATTGGAATCTGCTATTGCCACTTGGTCCTCATTCCAATGGGTTATTGATGTAAGCAATGCCATGTTATTATGCTATGTTCCAAATTATTAGAAAATAAACCTCTGAATCTTAAAGTAAGAATTGTTCTTTGTGTTACTGTCTTTTGTCTTTTCTATTGGGTTTTTCCACGATAGTGTCTTCTCTTTGGTTCTGGATAATTCCCGGTAAGAAAAACCAAATGCACAAGTACAGCATAGGTGGTACCTTGCTCAATAGTAGTAACTGTGAGAGGGACCTCGGAGTCCTAGTGGACAATCACTTAAACAGGAGCCAGCCGTCTGCTGCAGCTGCCAAAAAGGCCAACACAGTGCTAGGCTGCATTAACAGAGGGAGAGAATCAAGATCACCTGAAGGGTTAATACCACTTTACAAGGCCTTGGTAAGGCCACACTTGGAATACGGCATCCAGTTTTGGTCACCATGATGTAAAAAAGATGTTGAGACTCTAGAAAGAGTACAGAGAAGAGCAACAAAGAAGATTAGGGGACTGGAGGCTAAAACATATAAGGAACGGTTGCAGGAATTGGGAATGTCTAGTTTAACGAAGAGAAGGACGAGGGGGGACATGATAGCAGCCTTCCAGTATCTCAGGGGCTGCCCCAAAGAAGAGGGAGTCAAGCTCTTCTCCAAAGCGCCTGAAGGCAGGATAAGAAGCAACAGATGGAAACTAACCAAAGAGAGAAGCAACCTAGAACTAAGGAGAAACTTCCTGACAGTTAG